AGGTGGCGGCGAGGCTTCGGTCGCTCCCTCCTCGAGGAGGACCTTGGATCTGGGGCGGCGGCCCTTCTTGGCGAGGCGGCGGCGCCTTCGCGGCCGGCGTCGTCCGCGGGTGAGCTCTGGCCGGCGGCCTCGACCACGCGGGTGGTGAGACGACGGCGGGTGGCGGCGGCGGCGCGGAGGTCTTCCCCGCCTCGTCAGATCTGAAGGTGGCTCCTTTCCCCTGTCTCCCTCGTCCCCGCCGCTTCTCGCCTGCCTCCCTCCGAGCGCCGGTTTGATGTGGGTGGGTGACCGGTGGTCTGGTTTTGGGCCGCGGGAAACCGCTGGCCGGCGTGGCCGGCCTGGCAGCAGCGACGTTCCCGACGCCGTCTCCTCCTTGGAGGTGCTGCAGAGGCCCTCCCCTTTCCACCCCTGCTCCTCCTCCCGGGTGAAAACCCAAAATCCGGCTTGGATTGGGCGGCGACGGCGCGCTGTGTGTCGTGCTCTTCCTTGGGGGCGCCGCCTGGGGAGGGATGCGTTCAGGTGAGGGGTTCATGGTCGGAGCTTGGGCGGCTTGGGTGGTCCGGTGACGATGGGGCCACCAGGTTCGGCATGGCTGTAGGCGTTCGGCTGCCTGGCAATGCTCCTCGGTGGCCTGTCGGCTCTCCTGATGCCCCTGCTGCCTTTCTTCAGTAGCCGCACCTGGTGGTTTTCCTGCAGCTCTCAGGCGTTCTAGGTTGTGGCGAGGCGGCAGTCGTGGAGAGCTCGAAAGTTCAAGTGGTGATGTGCTGCGGCTGCTCCAGGTCCTGAAGCTATCACGTCCCCTGCTCTAGGGTGAGCGTCTCTCAAGTCCGCCGGGTACGGCGCCTTGCGAGCCATGGCGAGAGGGAAGGGTCCCTTTGCGGCGAGAGAGACGGCGGATGTGTAATGTCTTTCTACTTGGGCGTTGGTCGGGCTCACTTTCCACACTTTGTTGCAAGCAGGTCCTCGGCGTGCTCGTGTGTGCCTCATCCCTAGATGGTTTGTTTGGCTGTAGTCTTCGGCTAGGACAAGCTTTTTGTGTTTGTGCGAACCGTTGAGTTGTAAGCCTCCTAGAGTGTCCCCTTGTATCGTTCGGTCGTGGGGTCTGTGTGTGTCTGTATCTCCTGGCCGGTTGATGGCTTTGTTAATTCAAAGCCGTGCTCTTCGCGAGCCTTCGTTCTAAAAAAAAAGAAAAAGGAGCATTACAGCGACAAATGTTATCTTGCTGGTGACAGAATAATGAATACAACTTCGTGTCTCTGACAAGTGACGTGTCTCATTATGTGAAATTTTATTTAGACTACTAAATCTCAGACGCAATTAATCTCAGATCATCACATACAGTGATGACTTTTATGAAAGGAAAAAAAGGGCATCAAAGTAGTTTAAACCCAGAAGAAAAATATGCCACGGGTTATTATTTTTCAGCAAAGTTTACAGGAACCCAACAAGAAAAAGGACTCGGCCTTGCATCCAGTTGCCATAGATAAAAGATATTATTCATTAAGATAAAAGAGGTTAATTAAGCTAAGGCAATCCAATAGAAGTTCAGTTAAAAGCAAGTTAAAGGACAGCCAGATCAATGAGGGAAAACAGAACAGCATGCCATGTTGCTAACCATAATGCACCAGATAATTCATTCATCAGCCTAGATAGCATTACATACTCCGGTGAGGTATTAGATGGTTCAGTTGGCAGAGGTGCATGCATATGAGCTTGGCCAGCTTATTGTGTCTTCCTTTTGGCTGTCTAGTGCTGAATTGAATCCCCCTAAAAAAAGGAGCATTACAGAGACAAAAGTTAGGGTAGTAAGCAATATGATGTCTCAACTTAGTTCTACAACCTCGATCAAACACAGATCTATCTCGATCAGACGATCACACACAAAAGATGATGTGATAAAACATAGTTTCTGCTAACTTCAGCGAGCATTTGCACCTACTCATGCTAGCTGAAATCTGCACTTCCCTAGGAACATCCATGCCTACAAACAGAAGAGTACCCAGCCTGTACATGTTACCTCAGAACACTGGGATCAAGAAGTACAGGTTACCTCACAACACTAGGACCAACACTGGAAAGGGTTGTGAGCAGAGAGATCCGACGCTTTTCTGAAACTCCAGAGGTTCTCCTCCAAAGGCTCCCCCACCACCACTATGGAGTGATCGCAGACCCACCCCCGGTGCGTAAAATCTTCCATTTTAGTCATCAGCTCATCCATCTCATCCGCCG